AATTTTATTATTATTTCAATAGAATATAAAGATTTATTGACACTTAATTAATATTTTATGGTAAATATTTTTTAATAACAATAAAATATTCAATCATATACGAGGACAAATATGGAAAGTTACTTTTGATAAAGACCATAAATTGTCAGATTAAAATAAAATTTATTAATAAAACGAGAAAAAAAGTAGAGTTGACCTTGTCAACTCTGTGATACCCGTACGAATTTGTTATCCTATGTGCGAATAACTAATGTGCCATAACTAACTATGGGGCAGACTATGACTTTAAGTTGCCGTATTACCATATTAATTTATGCAAAATTTCAGTACTATGTGTTTTTCAAAATACTGGTTGTGCCAAACTACTATTGAAGTTGTATGGCAGCTACCAGAAAGAGCCAAGAAATTTTAGCGAATTTTATCAAGCACATCGGCCCTACTAATATATTCACTTGTGTGAAATCTCAATATCACAGCTTATATAGTTTCTGAAATATAGCCAAATAACTTTTGAAGTTGTATGGCAGATACCAGAAGGAGCCAAGTAATTTCAACGGCTTTTATGAGACACATTGGCCCTATTAATATATTTGTTTGTGTGAAATTTCAATACTACAACTTTTATAGTTTCTGAGATAGAGCCAAATAAATTTTGAAGTTGTATGGCAGGTACCAGAAGGAGCCAAGTAATTTCAACGGCTTTTATGAGACACATTGGCCCTATTAATATATTCGTTTGTGTGAAATTTCAATACCATAGCTTTAATAGTTTCTGAAATATAGTCAAATAACTTTTGAAGTTGTATGGCAGGTACCAGAAGGAGCCAAGTAATTTCAACGACTTTTATGAGACACATTGGCCCTATTAATATATTCGTTTGTGTGAAATTTCAATACCACAATTTTTATAGTTTCTGAGATATAGCCAAAAAAATTTTGAAGTTGTATGGCAGCTACCCGAACCGGTACCCCGATCACGTCCAATTTAAATAGAGTTCTGGCACTTACTACAATAAATCATTTGTGAAAATTTGGTGAACTTAGCTCAATTAGTTTTTGAGTTATCGTTCGGACGGACGGACGGACGGACGGACGGACAGACAAAGCTAAATCAATTCAGAATTTGACGCTGATCAAAAACATACACTTGAGTCTATATCTAACACCATTATTTCTTAGCGTTACAAACGGTAAATTTTTTTATTTGAGATGACATAAAATTTTAAAACATACAATTTGTATTCCAAACTAGAATCAAATATGAAAAATAATAAAAAGACACGTGTCAATAATTGTTTTCCATTAATAATATTACCCTATATTCTATATACATATTTTATTTATATATGGTATATTCTCTAATAGTAAATGTTATACTGTGATAGAAATAATTTTTTTTTTTTGTTATGTTGTATAATATTTACCCCTTTTTATAGTTAAAGTGATTCTTTTTTTAATAATAATACGAAATGCATTTGTGGACAATGCATATGTATGTATTTATGTATATGTTTGTATGTATAGTAATGAATAATTTTGAAAATAAATAGCTCACAAAATAATTTACCAGCAAATATAAGAGCGTATACTTATAACTTAAAAAACAAGTAATATTTTTTTTAGTACACATAATTGATATGGATGTTTTTGCAATATACAATAATGGCTGTAATTCTTACGTAAATACAAAAATTTTTTAATGCTTCAAATAATGTGACTAAACAAACCAATTGATTTTAATGCTTGCACTGACTACTTGATGTTATCTTTTGATATAACGTCAACTACGAGGTAAGAATTGGGATAATTCGAGGTAAAAATTTTTTCACTGTATGTATTGCCTTTAGTTTTAATATGTGTAGCGCTTTGAATAATTGAGTTGTTTACTCTGGCTCAGAGAATTAAATAAGTTTTGCAAGAAATTCAAGTAATTTTATTTTTTGTTCCGCTATGGTTATAATTAGTCTACTTTTAGTCCAAAATATATGTTTGAGTGCTGAGCCAGTTTTAACCCTAAAATCATATTGATAGAGAGAGGGTTAAAATGGTAAGAAATTTCAAGTCCATATTTTAATTTCTTAATAAATGTACTATAAGTATTCAATTTATTTTTATTAAAATATTAAAATAATCATGCGGTATTTTATACTAATTTCGATTAATTTCAAAATACTCAAGATCTATCAAAATAACACAAAATCGTAAATAATTTACAATTTTCTATAAATTTGGACTTCCCCATTTTATATAGTTTAAAATTTTCCTCTAAATAATTTTCAATTCAAAATAATCTATTTCTTTCCTACTTACGTACATAATTAATAATAATTAACAAAAATCCTAATACTGATTAATCTTTTTTTTTTTACTTTCAATTTTAATTAGGCTAATAAATCAAAAACAAATACAAAAAGTTCTATTAGAACATCTTTTCGAAAATAAAAAAAAATATAGAAAAAAAAAGCTACACCAGTTTATTAACCTTATAATTCAAATAAACGTAATCAGCTCTTTCACCACCATTTCTTATACTATAAACATATATATACATACGCATACATAAACACAATATATGTATATTTTTATGTATATACATAAAATACCAATTGTTATAATTGAATTAAATTTCGATTACTTTTTAAAATTTATTTTACGTATTATTATGGTAAGTACAATAATAATTGGTATAACAGAATATATTATAGAGATAAAAATATAACAGTGTAAACATGATATTGTACAACCGATATAATAGTGTGTATTCGTAGATATAACAAGTAAGTATAAAAAAATATATATTTATTTATTTATTAGAATATAAATTTTATATAGTTAAATAAATAATATAAGTACGAGTGTTTTTGCAAAAAAAAAAATTTATCTATACTTATTTATTATCTACAAGTTCATGGAAAATAATTTAAAATAATTTGGCAAACAAAATTTCAAAAAATATTGATTAAAAATTTAAAAAAAAAAAGAAATCGATTTTGTTATTCTCTTGAACTTTACTTATTTGGGAATACAACAGTAATATAATAGTAATTATTAGAGAACTGTAAATAGCACTAAAGTAGTATTAAGATCTTAGTGCTATTTGACTTTAAAAACAAAACCATCGGACTATCGACATCGGGCTATTCCTATTGTTGATTCAGGACAAGTGTGGAACATGTAGACATAAATAATGTGAAAAAAAATTGCCAGCGGTAAATACGAAAATTTAGGCTATTTTACCGTCGGTGGTAATTTCGCTTGATTTTGGGGCAATCCGATTTAAATATGTGTTTTCTATATGAATTCTGATATTTCAATCGCTCTCATTCTGCATTCAATTTTTCTATATTCAACGAAAATTTAAAGTTCAATAAATGAGAAGTTTATCATGAATCATGAATGATGACATTAATAAAATTGTATGTAGTACTTTACATAAGTTGAATATAAGCTTTTGATATATACATGTAATATCAATTTGATACCCACAGCTTTTTTCCTCATCTAACTCTTTATTTCTCTCAAATATTCCTAAAAAATGACTTCATTGACGCTTCTTTATTTGGTAATTTTTTTTTCTTGCTTCTCTTTTTATAATTTTGCTTAGTTTTCTCGTTTTTTCTAGTAAAAAGTCAATCACCTTATCGTTTGTTTTTTTCGTTTTCAAAGTTGTTTTAAAATTTTTATTTTATTTTGCTTCCAATTTTGTAATATTTTATAAGAGTTGAAAAGAGTTTTGCAATACTGAATTAATATTAAGTTTATAATATAATTATAAAATAAATAAAAAGTAATGACACTAGATAGAAATCTAAATATTCTATCTTAATCGTCATACTTTCCAAATAATTGCGTCGGACAATGTACATAGTTTCATTTTATGGAATAAAATGAACATGGAATCAAATATTTTAGAAACAAGAATTTTTATTAAGTAAGAGTGAGAGGAAATCATCAAAATTTCTATTTCAAAATTGGACCGAATCAAAACACAAAAACGATTTCAGATAAATGATTACAAAGTTGACCAAAAGATGGCTCAGAATTAAAATCGGAAATCTTATTTAGAATTTTTATTACATTGTAGTAGCTTTTTGGGAGTTGTTCAGCAAATATTTGAGGAAGGCGATATAATACAACGCGAACGAAATTTGGGTATGGTTTAGAAATATTCGCGGTATAAACTGGAATCATTTAATTATTAAAATAGATAAATGACATATTTGGAGATCATATCTTATAATACACTGGTTGAAAATACAATGAAAGTTGTTGCTGCCATGTTTGTTTTTTCTTTATTTTTTTTTGTTCTTACTTTATAATTAATTTTTTATATAAAAAAAAAAAACGCCTAAAAGAAATTTTCTCAACTTTTTTAAGAAAAACTTTTTTTTTTTGTCAGAAAATGAGCGAATCGCAATAATAGGCAAAAAAAAAAAAAACAAAAAGAACAAACCAAAATCTAAATTTTACTAAAATCAAATTTTTTCAACAAAGTTTATAACTGGCTCGTTGGTCTAGGGGTATGATTTCCGCTTAGGGTGCGGGAGGTCCCGGGTTCAAATCCCGGACGAGCCCGAGTGAATAAAATATTTTTTTTTTTTAATTAAATTTATAAATGGTATTGATTTTTTTATTTTTAAACTTTCAGATTAAAAATGATTCGTAAAAATTTAAATTAATTTCTGAGTTTTCTATATTTTTAAAAAAGAACTTGTAGAAAATTGTAGAAGTATCTCAGAGAATATAATATATAATCTTCTATAAAATTCTGAGTTTCGTATCACTTGTTTAACTATTTATACAAGTATGCACACATGGAAACATGTTGCATATACAAAATGTAAGTACAACAGCTATTGCCATTTTTGATTCTTATTATCTAAATACATAACATAAGTAAGTAAATGTACTGTTGAATTTTTTAATGAACAAGATAAAAATGAGAGAGTTGAAAGAAAGAAATATATATAAGTATTTATTTATAAAAAAATTAAACTTACCTACTATACGCCGATAATAACCAATTTAATAATAATCCAGCTTTTGAATCGACAGGAACTTGTTGTGCAGTTGGAAGACGTTTATTTAAATTATGATATAATGATGATACTAATGTTTCTAAACGAGCTACACTAACTTCACTTTGTGGCTCCAATGTATTTAAACCATTTTCTCTAAATGCCTCAATAACATTCCATATATCGACTAAATGTAAATTTGTTGATTTTTGTATATAACGTAATTTTGATGCTGTGCGATACGATGCAAAACGTATCGTATCAAATGTTTGTAATCTTAAATCTTGTAAAATTGCAACCCTTGGTTCAACTTCCATCATTTTGTTGCCGGTTTTTTTGGGTCTTTTTTTTTTTAAATAAATTATTATCAGTGCATCAGAATTAAAAACAAAATATTTTTACTAATATTATGGTTTTTTTGGATTTTTTTATGCTATACAAGTAAATTTATAATTAAGTTTAACTTTAGCTGCTAAATTAACTTCTAAGATAATAAGTTTTTGCTCTTTTTTTCTTCAGTAAGTATGCGTACAGTATTAGTGATGAGTATGATCTGCGGTTCTTTCAATTATAAGAAATCTGAAATTAGGAAATACAGGAATATTATAAATTACGAAATATATATGTATAATTTTTTATATTATATAAAAATTTAAAATACAAGAGAACTTTAACACTAAATTAATTCCTAAGATTTACAAATCCGGCAAATCAAATTAAATTTGAAGTTATTCAATGTATTGAACCCATATTATATATAATTATTTAATTGTAACTCTCAGGGCTTCGGAATACATACATTTTTAATATTTCAATTATCTGCTTGCTTATTTTTGTGTTTGATTGCTGATTTTTGCAACTTTTAGATGACGCAATTAATTTGAATTGACGCAATAATTAAGTTGCTTATTATGTACACGCAATGAACCTACAATCAAGTAGCATGCATAAGTTCTTATATTACACATATATATTTCAGACACATTTCCTTCAAATTTGAAGGGACCTCAAATTAAAGAAACATTGCTGTATATATGTATGTATTTATGTAAAACTGAACACGATCAACAATCAAATACAAATTCATAATTCCCAATAAATGATATGCAAATCTATGCATATACAATTATGAATATATTCTGTATACAAAAACCAAATTCATAATTACTCAGTAGTTGGAATGAGTATAAAAATATTTTGTTTAGCTCCGCAGACATAAATAGTACATATACATAAATACAAAACATTCAGAACAATTAAAAATAAAGTAATAATTTAATTATAGCAATAAATAAATTTTATGAGATTGCGTTCTTCAAAAATGAAAATGTAAAAATCAAATATTGTGAACCATAAAAAAAAACAACAATTATGCAAAAATAATAAAAATACGCAAAAAAAAGATTAAAACAAAAAAAAAAAACCTTACTTTTTTTTTATCTTGTTATTATTGCTTAATTAAATTATTATGACAGTTGTACACTATTAAATTTCAACAAACATATTTATAGACAATACAACGGTAATAATGACACGACAGTATTACAGCAGCAATAATAAAAAGAAAGTCAACATTCATTCGATTCTTTCGTCCGTTTGTACGTTTGGCTTCCAACATTTCTATATATTTTAAGGCACAAAACTGAAATTTTATACGAACATAAGTTCTTTACTAGAAATTTATTTCCCTCTTTCCCCCCTCTTAAAATTTATAGACCCGAAACAAAGTTCTAACAATGACACAAATTTTTAACTTTTCTAAATGCAACAATATGCAAAACTACTTTAAAATTTTCAAAATAGCCGCTGCAAAACATTTTTCCTATTCCTCTACATCTCTCTATTTCTAAGTCATAACTAACGGTATCAAAAAATTACAATAAATGCATATTTAATTAGTTTCTCAAAAAAATTGGCTAGCTTAGATAAGTTACCTTTAACCGAAGTAAATGGCAAATTTACAACTATTATAGCTAAAAGGCATATTCGAGTTAATTGGGGTGCGATTGACTGCTACGTCTACCAAACAACGGTAAACCTTTTATTTTTCTCAACTCACAAAATTAAACGTCGAATTGAACCTGTATAATATTAAAGCTTCTTTTAAATTTTTGTGTTTTCTCCTAATTGTATGCAATATTTTTTATAGCATAAAATAATTTTGGTACATAATTATTATACATTAGTTATATATTAATAGAAATGATATAAGTACCTTGCAGATTATTTTTACAAAGAGTAATTAATACTCTTCTTAAAGGGAAAGGTGCTACTTTACAAACCACTGATTTCATTCTAAATTATTTTGTTCACAATAAGAATTAAAAAATTAAAATTTAATTCTCAACTGGTTTACGTAGGCAGGATGTTATGTTATATGTAATGTTATCTTAAATATACATTGCGAATTACAAAATGGGTACACTAATACAATTTTCCTTTTGCAATTGGGTAATATAGTGAATGTAAGTGTGAATATATGTATACACGTATGAAAGAATTTACATGAAAAGAAACTAAAGTTTTACATCCTTCCTTGAAATACTTTACTACCTAACAAAATGAATACGGGTAAAACTTCCTACATTTAATTCTTGTACATAATATAATAAAAAAATATTTAGGAAATTTTTATGCGTAAAAAATTAAAATTTTATAACGAACATAGAACGAATTCACATATAAGAAAATTTCTAAAGTCATTCAAATTTAAATTACAATATTTAATGTTAGTTATTGAGAGATCCAGAAAATAATATAATTATAAAATAATTAAAATATTTAAATAGCATAAAAACATAAGGGAAAAGATGTGTTTAATTGTAATATAAGTAGGTACACCAAGTATATAATATGAATAAATATGTATAAAAATATGAAATTAGTTAAATTTCTTAAATTTTAATTGTTTCTTTTAAGTACACATAATTACAAAAAAGAAAATATACTTCTTTAATTAAAATTTCTTACATATATGGAAAAATTGTCACAAAGATTTCTGTCTCAAGAAATTAAAGACCGTATTAGAAGTGACATTTTTTATACATAATTATATTGTCTAGGATACTTAACCTCAATGTGTGGATATGATACATTCAAATAGAAATATATGTAGTTTATTTTAATGTCAACATTATTTTATTGAATAAAACGACTAACCAAATTGAATGTGTATAATTTTCACATTTGAAATTTTCATAATACAAACACACATAATTTGATTATTTTTATATAAAATATCAAAAATGTAAGGTAAAATTTTCATAAGATTATATGAATAACATCCGAAATGTGAAATTCACATATAAAAATTATTGATTTCAGCATAATTCAACTATTAAAAAATTTGTCTCTTTTATTGAAATATAATTTGAAATATATGGTCCGAAATTTTTCATGACCAAATTATCCTTCAGTATATGGTCCGAAGATCTTCATGGCCAAGAAAACGATATTAAATATGTTGTCATAGAATTTATGGTGATGAAAGCGCTATGTAAAAATTTCACTGAATTTTAAAACCTTTTTGACAATATTGACACCTGACCCCATAAAGTTAATTCTTTTGATGCCTTTTACAAAATAAAAGAAACTTTTGACATGTTATTCTAAGAGATACCTATTTAAATCGGCTGAAACTTTGAAGTATAACAACTTTCTTATGTGAATTTGAAATATGCATCTGTGCCAAGTTTTAAAGCTTTAACTCGTTCCGTTCTCAGATTGGGCAATCAAAAACAAACAAACAAACGAATAAATATAAATCATAATAAATAATTTCAATTAATTTACACGTATTCAATTAAAAACAACACCTCAATCATCCGAAAGTAATTCTGTCGAAAAGAAATCTCGCTTGTGGTAGCTAACTCTACAACTCTTAAAAAAAATTTGATACATAGCCGCATAATTACATTTTGAGGCTCACTGTTTTAATACGGGAAATAATTTTTGTATGTTTTTTATTTCCAAAAAGCATCACTAATTATGTTGTCATTCAGTTTAAATGTACAGAAAAGTACATAAAAAAAAATTTATTCATAATATGAGTACAATCAACATATTAAACATATATACATATGTACACACATAATATAATTTAATTTAATTTTTATTCATTTACTTCTCCATCTTGTCGGAAAAAAAAAAACAAAAATTAAAAAAAAAATACATTCTTTATTTTTGTTGATTAGTAAAAGAACCAAGAAGAAAAGTAAAGGGAGAGAAGAGAAAAAGTTGTTAACACAAATTTTAATATATAAAAACAACATGATAAAAATGAAATAAAATGAGAATAAAAATTCAACCCATTTTCAGTTGTTTACACTCCACCCCAAAAAGAAAACACCAAACAAATGAAAAACATAAAAAATCATATACAAACAAAAAAAAAATAACAAAAATATTATGTATAATATAAGTATGTCATATTTTGTGTTATTCATCGGTACCACTACAATATTACCACACCATTTCATCTTAAATTCTCAGTTCATAACATCTTAATTCCCATTTCATCCAATATAATATTATGTGTGTGCGGTTCTTTCCTATCCCAGTGAAAATTTTGGTTTTATTATAAAAAAAACAAAACAGAAAATTTTATACGTTTTGTACTCTAGACTTATTATATGTTAAAATTTATAAAATGAAAGCATTTATAAGTTAAATATCAAGAGAGAAAATAATCAGAAAATAAAGAGAATTTTTTTGTTTCTCAATGTTAGTGCTCTTATTTTCATTTTCAGTGAATCAAAAACAAGACATAATTATATGATTCCCTTAAGACCGAGAGAATTCCTATTGTTTTTGTATAAATGGTAAAAATATCACGACTGGAGTCATTTACAGAGTTAACAACCATATAAATATTTTGGAGCAAAACTAGCCATCAACGTAGCCATATATTACATATATTTCAAATATCGCCTTTTTGAAATTTGGTAATTGAGTAATAATATGAGTAATGGAAAATTGTGAGTGCAAATCAAGTGAATTGCCTAAATATCGGATATACATATTTTGTCAAAAATTTTTATAGATTTTATTAATCTTACTCACGGAAGATAAGAAATTAATCACTTTATGCCTGTTACAAAACAATGTATATTATATGAGAAATACACAATATTTGTAATTTGTTACATTGAAATCCTGTTATATTGAATAACATGTACAAGACTCTAAACATTAAAATACATAGTTAGAATAATAGAGAAGAAAATCCTTTTTGAGTTTTGTTTCTGAAAATAAAACGATGTAATGTTAAAATAACTTTTAAGAATGTGGCATAAATGAGAATAAGAAGACAAACTATATTATCGAAAGATTTTCACCAAGGCCACAATTATTTTGATTTTGATTATAAACATCCTTTAAAAATAACATTACATTATATCTATGGCAGTATTAATAAAAATTTTCTTATCACTGACACTAGAAATAATATAATTAATATTTAAACGAACCTACTGTATGCTCCAGTTATTTATGCAAATTTTCCATTAGACATTTAATGGGAATTAATAAACATTAGAAAATATAATTTTTATATATAAATAAGGACACTATACGGAGAA